CTGTGCATCCACACTAAGGTGCGTATACAGCTGCTTTTTTGCTTTTGGCACATGTCATGTTCTAGGAACTGTCTGTAGAATTTCCTTCTTGCACGTTCTATATCTGTACAGTGGGGTGATATGTCAAGTGTGGGCATATAGAGTTGCCTGTGTTGCTGAGCATTTAGTGACCATGTTGTTAGTATCTCATATTGGTAACAGCTTCTCCTTTCAAGTTTTATACCTTTTTTATTGTTGCAAGTGCTATTTTATTTGATTAGTTTGTCATTTGTTTCTAACATAGGATCTTTGGTAGGGGCAGTCATTGTCTCTAAGTGTTGGTTGTATGCTGTGCATTAAAATAAACACACATTCATGTTTACTGAAGGCCTCATGCATATAGGGCAATTTTGCAGCCACTTTTAGGTGCATCAGAGGTTGTGGTGTTTTTTACTGGTTCCAAACGGCCATCCATATCATCCTATGTGTCCATGCACACATAGACTTTTAGTAGCAGTAACGTTTACCAGGGCCAGTGCGTCCAGGAGTAGCAGTGTTTTGGCAGAAAAAACTGACAGCTCCTAAACCCTATTAAACGCTCCTAAACGCCAGTGCCCAGCATTTAGCAGAGGTTTTTTTTTTGCCTGGCAAGGAAAGGGCTGGGAAGCCAGCTGCCCCCATTTTTAACAACGGACAAGTCATCAGCTGTCAGTGGGATTCACCAACCCCCCCAGGTTCTTTGGGTCCTTATCCAAGCATGTAGCCTGGCAGGTCAGGAAAGGAGAGGGAGAGACGAGCGAGCACCCCCCCCCCCCCCCCCAAATACCATCCCAGACCACATGCCCTTAACATGGGGGGGGGGTTCCTTGGGGCATTGGGGACCACAGGTGGTTGTGGGCAGGGGCTTATCAAAATCTGGCAGCCCTCTTTAAAAACAAAAAGGGTGCAATCTTTATCGATGTTCCCCTCGCACACATTCCTGGAAGTACGGCTCGTCAATGGTGGGGGCTGTAGCGACTACCAGCTGGGACTGGAAACCTCATAGGCAAACGTACAAATTCGCCAGCAAAAAAGCTTTTTATTGCAAGAAGATCACATCACAAAAAGTGCAATGTTTCAGAGCCACTCAGGACCCTTTTGTCAAGCAAGCACATGCCTACTCGTTCACCAAAAAAGTGTAAGAGGTAAATAAAAACAAGCTTTTGACCTTTATTTAGTCCTTTATTAAAAAATCAAAAATGAAAAGAAAATTTCCCCCAGTGTAGAGCCATTGTCAATCATGATGCCCACCATCACCACTTACCCAAAAAAAGAAAATCCTCCAGTCCCGACGAAGGCTCCTGCTGTCTGGCAGCTCCGCCATATGGCAATATGGCCTAAATAACCAAGGGACAGGGTCATCTGGTGATGGCACGGGGCATGCTGGGTTGGTGACTTCTCTACACCAAGGGACATTTTTTTTAAAATAAAGTGCTTGTGTTTTTATATACCTTTTTCTACACTGTTTTGGTGAATGACTATGTGGCATGCCAATTTAAAAAAACTAATCTTGGCATGGGGTTCCCCTTCCATACCAGACTCAAAGGGCTTGGTATGAATTTGGGGGGACCCCCATGCCGGGGTTTTTTTTTTTTTTTTTACTACATTCAGTTGTTGAGGGGGGTGGCTGGCTCCCCGACCCTCTCCTTAACAATGGCCCTGCTTCTTAACGCTGAAGCAACTAAACGTATCTTACACACTAGGCTAAACGCCACCAAAGAAATACTAAAATCTTAGTGTTTTTTTTGTCCACTTCTAAAGCAGTTTTTTTTAGCTTCTCTAGTGTGCATGAGACCGAAAGAATATGCACACCCTCACCTTTGTATAACAACCCGTTCGGTTAAATAGACCTGAAAGGCAAAAGATTTGTGTATACATATAAAAAAGGTGTATATTTATTTTTATTAGTGATCACACCCTCTGTTCTTAGCTGAACCCTTGTGCTAGGGCAGGACAAACAGCAGTACACTGATCTTCCCAGTGAATGGCTTTGCAGGGGGGTGGGTGGGGCAGTCAGCACAAGTCTGGTCAATGGATTAGCTCCCAGCACAGCCAGAAAACTGACCATGCTGTACCCTCATGCCTAGTGTGGTCCGTTTTTATTTTAAAAGCAAATGGACTGTCAGGAATACCAGGGATTTTACACAAAGGAAGCAATACAAAGACAATAGGATGCTTTTTTTTTTTTTTTACAAGTACATGGAACAGCAGGCACAAATCAGGATTATGAAATGCTGGGGTAACATATTATTTACCACAGCAGTGATTGAATCGAGATATTAGATTGTAAGCTTCAAGGAGCTCCTAACCCTCTTGTATTGAACTGTATCATTGCTGTATTGTCTCCATTTATATTTATATTGTAAAGTGCTGAGCAAACTGTTGGCGCTGTATAAATCCTGTATAATAATTTGAAAATATAGCCAACTGTGATTCACAAGCTGGGTGATAGTTTGCATATTGGGTGGATCTATGAGCACATACTTAAGCAAAAAACAAAAAAAAACCTGTGAGCTCATTGTAAAGTTGCATTATTTAGAGGTTGTAATAAAGTTTCGGGATAATAAAAATATGCAAAACACTTTTGCAGGACATGTTTTGTCCCTTTGCAAATGTTCTGTAAGTACAGAAATCCCAAGCAGTGTTGTCAGCCCTGCTCTGTTATGTTTGCTAGAATATAGCACACCTTTCCCTATCTTCCTCTCCTTAACTTTGTGTCCCATAGTCCTGGGGGGGGGGGGGGGGGGGGGGGGGGGGGGGGGGGGGGGGGGGCTTAGGCAAGTCTGATAAAATGTGGGTAGATGTGTTTGTACAGTGGATATAAAAAATCTACACACCCCTTTTAAAATGTCAGGTTTCTGTGATGTAAAAAATGAGACAGATAAATCATTTCAGAATTTTCTCCACCTTTAATATAACCTATAAACTGTATGACTCAGTTGAACAACAAACTGAAATCTTTTAGGTGGAGGGAAGTAAAAAATAAAAAACAAAAATTTGGTTGCATAAGTGTGCACACCCTTCAACTAATGCTTTGTTGAACCTTTTGATTTTATTACAGCACTCGGTCTTTTTGGGTATGAGTCTTATCAGCATGGCACATCTTGATTTGGCAATATTTGCCCACTCTTCCCAAATCTGTCAGACTGCTAAGGACATCTCCTGTGCACAGCCCTCTTCAGATAACCCCACGATTTTTGATCGGTTTCAGGTCTGGGCTCTGGCTGAGCCATTCCAAAATTTTAATCTTCTGGTGAAGCCATTCCTTTGTTGATTTGGATGTATGCTTTGGGTTGTTGTCAAGCTGAAAGATGAAGTTCCTCTTCATGTTCAGCTTTCTAGTAGAAGTCTGAAGGTTTTGTGCCAATATTGACTATTTGGAACTGTTCATAATTCCCTCTACCTTGACTAAGGTCCCACTTACAGCTGAATAAAAACAGCCCCAAAGCATGATGCTGCCACCACCATGCTTCACTGTGGGTATGGTGTTTTTTTGGTGATGTGCAGTGTTGTTTTTGCACCAAACATATCTTTTGGAATTATGGCCAAAAAGTTTAACCTTGGTTTCATCAGACCATAACACATTTTCCCACATGCTTTTGGGAGACTTCAGATGTGTTTTTGCAGATTTTAGCCGGGCTTGGATGTTTTTCTTTGTAAGAAAGGGCTTCTGATTTTAAACGTGTGTCAATTTGAAGTTGGGGGAAAGTCTTGGTCCATTTGATAAGACCAGCTGAAGTTGTGCCTGTGTCCAAATATATATGTGCGTGTGTGTGTTGAAATGTTCTCTAAGGAGCTAAGTAATGTTTAACGCTGATAATCCTTTAGGTGCATAAACTGTCTGGCTCTCTCTAATAAAAAAAACCAACAACTTTGTTTTTTTTTTTTTATTATTATTATTTTTTTTTAATTTTTAAATAGCCCATTAAACTTCTAAAATGTATCTGTTTAATGAGCACAGCAGAATGTTTCTGGTTCGCCTGTGTTCATGGATTGTCTCAGGGAAGGGTATTATCTCAAGTTTGGTTCATTGCTGATAGTGAAGAGATGAATTCAAGAAAGATAAACAGTTGCTTTGCTCATTATTTTTCATGTATGGCTTTAGATTATGCTACTTGCATCCTGCATTTCAGAATAGCTTCTGCAGAATTACTCCAAATGTTAAAACGATAGCTTTTGACAGGCATAAACTACACTAAGGCTCCTTGAACACTGGGCAATTTTAATAACGCTGGTAACGTTAGGTGTGTAAAGGCGTCTTTAAAAATTTGATTTTTTTTTTTTCCCCGTGTTTGCATTTTTAGCGGGTTTTTTTTGACAAACAAAAAAAAAGTTTTTTTTTGATCAAAAAATCCAAAAACGTTGTTTTACTGAGTTTTGCTGCATTTTGCAGTGTTAGTGTTTTTATAGCTAAAAAAACTCCTCTAGAAACCCACTAGTTCTGGGGGGGAGGGGGGGGGGGAGGGGGTTCAGCCAAAAAACGCTTATTAGTCTGTGTGCATGGACGCACAGGATAACATGCTGCAGAGTTTATTGGCTGTAGAAAAAAAATATGCCTGTATGTCGTAGGTAAGTGAGTAGCTGGCAGAGGCAGGACCTTCCACAATCCATGAGTGGTAGTGAAAGCAGGGCCCATGCAGCACCCAATTGCCAGTTGTTCATTATTACGGGCTAGGAAAAAGTGTCATCTTGTAAACCATGCTCAAAATTGGGCAGACTAGAGTGCAGCAATCAAAGGGTTTTTCAAGGTCTTGTTTAAAGATGGATTTTTAATTTACAAGAAGGTTTTATTACACACTTATACTTATTAGACTTCCTTTTGGCCTGCTTTAATGTTCTGTTTCCTATACTTCCTTTAGGTAAGAAGAAGAACAAGAAGGGGAAGACCTTTACCCTGACTGACTTCCTAGCGGAGGGGGGGGCAGTGGAGGTGGCGGCGGCGGGCGGCGGTGGTGGTGGTGGTGGTGGCAGCGGCGGCGGTGGTGGTGGCGGCGGCGGCGGGCAGCACCTATGTACCAAAACCTGTCAACTGGGCAGATGAGACTGATGATTTGGAGGGAGATGGTAAGCAGATTTTGTGTTTATGCTGTTTTTGTTTAGATGTGGATGTTGTGAATTGATATCAGAACAAGTTTTCTGAGCCTAAAAACCGGTTCACATCATAGAACCGCAGTCTGAATACGTTTCTGGTGTGTTTTTGCTGCATTCCGGTGTGTCTTTGGTGCATTCTGTTTGATTTTTCTAGTACAGTTCAGTGCAAAAAATGCAGCATGTTCCTCCCTTTTTTTTTTTTTTTTTTTTCTTCCTGGAACTGACCGCACTGGTGTGAACTATACCATTGAGAACCATATACCCTACTATCCATCTGTTTTTGATGCAGAAAAAAAAACACACTTGACTGCATGTGGTGTGAACCAGCCCTAAAACTTAAAATGTGATGTAAAAGTGCTTCAATTAAACTTATTTTGTACATTAAAGCAAAGTAACGGGTTGGCTTCATTCCCCAAACAAATATACTTGGATATTCTGTGCCCCCATGCTACTTTGTTTAGTACTGTGAGCTGAAGGAAACCTGATGATATAGGGTGGAGGAGCAAGTGACTAACTCCATGTAACAGTGCTCAATTAATCAACAATGTCACATGAACTACAGCTCCAGCAACTTGGCCTATACAGGACTTTGCTTTCATTCCCAGCAGCTGACAGGTGGGAATGGAAGTTAAGTGTCTGTGGGGTCCACAGTAGTGTGAACCTTTTTTGCTGTGCTTTTCGTAGGTAAAACGCAGATTCACTTTAACTCCTTCCTGCCCTCAATCTGTTTTACATTATTAAATGCTTTTGATATTCCCTAACTGTAGACTTCTTGGTAAAAATGAAAGCCTTCAGTTTGCAGATGAACACTGCCACCCTCATACTGAAATGCATTGCCATCTGTTTTAATAGTGTTTAACTTATTTCTATTAATGAAACTGTATTAAACTGTAAAAACATGCCTGCGTTTGGCAGTCTGCAATAAAAACAAATTTAGTGTTTTTTTTTTTTTTTTTTTTTTTTAAATAAAACAGCGGACCGATTTAAGCTTTTTATGTTTTTAAAACCTCTAAAGCATGCACCGCATACTAGCACATTGACAGACTTGTCTATGTAAATGGATCCCTCCAGCAGTGCGCTGTCACTACTGACAGGGACTCCATCCAGCCGTTTGCTTGAGCCACAATGACATCACTTGTGTGCATGCGTTCAGTGTGCCATTCATTGAGAGCACAGTGCGCATGCGCCGGTGAAATCACCAGTTGCTACGCATTGGAATATTTCCTAAACCATGTACGTTTAGGAGTTATTCACTGTACCTACAGGTAAGCCTTATTATAGGCTTATCTGTACATACAAGATTAAAAATGAAGTTTACTACCGCTTTAAAATGAGCACTCAGTTTTATGTCTTGGTGGGTAAAAGTAAAATTTACTGAACAGAACTAACACTCTTCTTGTTTAAATACAATTCAGTCTCCACAACATGGCATAGTAATGAAGATGATGCATACAGAGCTCCCCCAATTGATCGTTCAATCCTTCCCACTGCCCCCCGAGCTGCACGTGAACCTAATGTGGACCGAAGTCGCCTGCCGAAAAGTCCTCCCTTCACTGCTTTTCTTGGAAATCTTCCCTATGATGTGACTGAAGAATCCATCCAAAAGTTCTTCAGGGGCTTGAATGTGAGTGTTGGGTATATGATTACCTTATGGTTGTGACATTGTGAGAATAAAGATTGAACAGTTTAGAATGCTTTATCTGATTGCAGTTGTATTTCCACCTATTAAGCTGGTACTATGGATTTCTTTCTCGGTGTGGGACGCAGGAATTTAGAAACTGTTTTTGTTGCCACCTATAGGAAATTGGGACACTGGTAAATAGATTGTAAGCCAGCCCCCATCTCTCACACACACCTTACTTTTTGCTAATGCACAAGGTGGGCAGTTGCAGTTTCTTTCAGCTCTGCTGTGAAAAGTTTTTGTTGCTAGCTTAACTTTGTGGAATATTTTCCTCTGTTACTATATTCAATATTCCTTACTACATCGCTGCTTGAACTGACTTCTACATAGCAGGTTTCTGATTTTCCTCAGCACTAGCCTTAGAGACCATTGGTTTTTTTAGGCCCTGTGCTCTGCATTGTGGCAATTTGCACACCTTAGTGTACCATGTTAGCCATGGAGCCAATTCCGAAGTATTACACAGCTCAAGGTGTGACCCTTTTTCTGAAGAATCACTTGGTGAGTAAAGCCAGCCAGGCTGAAGCGCTATGCTTTCAACAAATATACTTCCGTTCTGTTTCTATTGCCTGCCCATAGTGACTTGGTCACTTCTGGCTGACTGAACCATTTGTCAGCACTAGTTGCCTGGGTTTGTGAGCACCTGAGGTCTTGTATCACATTGGACCTAGTTGCAATCACTGGCATGGACATAACATGTCTTTGCTAAGAAACAGGACAATCCTGGTGCCACAGGTGGCCTCAAGTACCGTATTTTGTGCTCCATAAGATGCACCTGACCATAAGACGCATCTAGGTTTTAGAGGAGGAAAACAAGAAAAAAATTACTCTGAACCCATGGACTACATAGTACAGGAGATGACCAGAGGCTGCGAACACAGTCCAGGGGATGACCAGAGGCTGCGGACCTTTGGGGAGCAGAGGGGGAAGTGGGTACCCAAATTTGACAGGTACCTGCTCCCACTTCTGTGGAGTTGTCCTCCCTCCCTGTCTTCTGGGATACATGACAGGTCCCAGAAGACTGCTGGACCATTCACAAAGCGCACCGCTTCTCGCGTATGCACATTGGGCAGCCGGTTGTGAAGCCGCAAGCTGTCACAGCCGGGTGCCCACACTAAAGATGCCGGCGCCAGGGAGAGAAGACGGTGAGGACAGTGCTGGACCGAGGAACACAGAAGAGCTGAACGGCCGGCCCGGTATTCTAACGCGGAGGCACTGGGAATTCCGGGCTGGCCGCTCCATAAGCCGCACAGACATTTTCCCCCCATTTGGGGGGGGGGGGGGGAGTGCATCTTATGGAGCGAGAAATACGCTAATACTCTAGTGATTCTGGGGACATTTATCCAGTATCCCCAGTAGGAAAGAAAACCAGGCCTTTAATCTGGAACCTGGAGTCCAAATTGTTATAGGGTTGTCATCTTTAGAGTCCTTTGGGCGTGGCCAAGCCTTCCTTCATGTCGGCTCAGGAACTCTTGGTTGTTTGTACTAGACTACTGGAGCATTCTGCCTGCAGGGACTCTTAAGCGTGCTCTGGCACTATTCGGTGAGCCCTTTATTTGAATTGGACATATGGCTTCTGTTACCATATCTGATTAAGATTCAGTCTCAACAGTATCTCAGGATAGACTTTTTTTAAGCATCCCAGTCTCCTGCCATTGATTCAGATTTGCAGTGGATTGTTATAGACCTCGCTGATGCAATGTGTATTGCCCTTCATTTGGAGGATCAACCTGCTATTCTGGGCCTTGGGTCTTTTAGAGCTTCTACATGTGCTAATACTTCTCCACTAGACCTGCTACTTGAGACATTACTTTATACTGACCCTAAAGGATCCTGGGCCCCACCTGAGGGTGTTAGAACTTTCTCCTTTGAGAACGAAATTTTTAAATGGGTGGTCTGTTCCAACCATGGATACACCAGTGACCTGCTTTGATCATCCTTTCACATGGACTTGTCCCCTCCGTTTAGCAGGTTCTGTGCCTGCTCAGTTTTTGTCCATATTTCAACAGCAGCTCCATGTTAGATCTATGAGCGAGATGATCCTCTAATCCATTTTTTAGGTACAGAAAAGATGTGGTTCTCTTCGATTGATTTGTTTTGCCCAGACTTGAATGGACACAGATGTAAACTGATGTACATCCTTTTACATCGGACTGCCCATAGACTTGCATTAAGCTTGCGATCAGTCTGCCTGAAAATCTGATAGGCGGCTTGATTGGGAGGCCTGTGTGAGGGGTGCCTGACAGGAATTCCACTAAACTGGTTGAAGATGTTCTCACTTTGCAGAATTCCACTGACAAGACAGTCCCTCCTTTAAATCCCAGTTTTAATTGACTGATCTGAACCTGTGTTGACAGTAACCTTAAAGTGTCAAACCATAGCAGAAGGTGTAGATTCCCTCCATAAGGGATACCTCTGCCACCAAGAAGGCCCACTTTCATAACGTAGCTGCAACAGTTGTCTAGAACCTTGCGAGATGTATGCTTAGATGCTTGCAACAAAAGCCATTGCAATTAATGGTTGTGCAGATGCACAAAGCACTGTGACTGCATAGTTGGATGCTGATCCTTTACCCAAGCAGTATCTGACCTGATTGGCCTTAGAAGGAAGTTAGGCCCTGCTCTTGACACCGTAATTAGCAATGCCACAGGTTGACAGTGTAAGGACTCATTTCTGGAGGTCTGTGGAGGGTTCTGCGGAATCCTATTGCCATCTCCTTTTGGCAGCAGCCACCTGTAGGCCTTCAGAGCCTAACTGCTGCTTAGCTTATAGGGTGTGAAGTCCTCTGAAAAGCTGCTGTCATGAAGGTACACCTTTATTTCAACAAGTGAGGTGCTGTTTGTACTTCCAGACGGTTCCATGGGTCCCTCCTCTCTAAAGGGACTACCTAAACTATAAAGTTGACTGAGAGCAGTTTCTGTGGTTCCCTACTTTGGCAATAGACCTTCATTTTCCTTTGGAGGCACGTGCTACTTTGCGGGGCTTGGTATTTGCTGACAGCCCCAGTGTCCATCTAGCATCCCCATTGTGGGATGCCTAGATGCCCTTCCCTGTAGAGGGTCAGTTCTTTGAACTCTTAGTTCTTAGGGGTCTGCTCTTTATAGACCACGAAGACCCTAGAATGACCCAATAGTTCAGTCAAATGGGGTGGTTTCTTCATCCCACCCTGTGAGAACTTTAGGTATCCGTGTACCTTAAGTCTTGTTCCCCAGAACAGATAGTCCCATCTTTGTTGTTATATCCCACTGTATGTCTTCTTGACCTCTACTCCATTGGACATCCAGATGTTGCAGGATTTTCACCTCTGGGAAGGTTTGGAAGTTATTTTGATAGAACAAGTGACATGGTCACTATGCTGGAAGATCCTGAGTACTACCCCCCGACTACATCTTCTTTACAGGCAATGTATTGACATCTGGCTCTCCTCAATCGGTAGATTCCACTCTGAAGGGACAGGTTTCTGCACCTGGGTGTTCAATTCCTGCATGGCAGTAAGAAATCATTGCTGAATGGCTCTGTGCTCCCTTGGATTATCAGCAGAAAGGGGATGGTGTATTTCCAGAGGCCTTTGTGGTACATGATCACCTGGAAATGAGTTATTTGTTTGTGGCTGAACTGCAGCTTATTGAGGAAGTTTCTCTAGATTCCCTCCCTGGTTATGTCCTTACTTGGGTAAATGTTTTTAGTGGTATGGCTAGGGTTCCTGCCTGTCGCTCCACAACTATGGGTGCTTTGTGGGATCTGATCACCTAGAAATAGACCCTCTTTTCATGGCTGACCTGCAGCCTCTTAAAGTAGTTCCCCTAGATACCTTCCTTGGTTATGTCTTTTAATCTGGTGTATGATAGTATTATTTTTCTGCTTCTTGCCTGTTGCTGCATTACTATGGATGCTTCACTAGACTGGGGCGGGTCAGAATATTCTTAGGGCTATGTTCTGTGCTCAAAGTTAGGCAGGCTCTGCAGAGTTCCATTCAGGTCCCAGAAACACCCCTTGATAAGCGTTTTCACCATCCTCTTGTTCTTCTGGGGTTTCTTTGGACTAGTTTGGGGTTGCTGTAATCTCTTTATCCCTGCCTACCCTTGTAGTCCATTGAAGGACACTAGTTCCCATCCCTCTTTTTTTTGCCTGCCCTTGGTCCTGCTTTCTCAAATAACTGAGGTATGCTGAGTTAGTTTTTCTGTTTGCCACTGACCCAAACTGTAAAAGGCAGATGTTTTTTACCTTTTTGTAAGAAATTGTAATTCTACTTAGATTAATTCAGGTGTCCATGTCAGACAACACATACCTCACTTTGCTGCAGTTAAAGCAATAAGCTTGGTCAAGAACCACTACAACCTGTGAGTGGATAGAGACGGGGCAGCAGCACACTGAGCTCTTCTCTGTGCTCTACTCCTCCACCCACTAGCTCCCTATGCAAAGTAGTAATTTGATTACAGCACTGCCCCTCCTTCATAAGACATACTGAGGTGCTATAAAAAAAATACATTTAAAGTATACCTGCAATGAGCGAAATATGGGGGGCAGTTTGACTTTCTGAAAATGTTAGTTGCTTGGCTGTGATGCTCACTCTATTATTTTATTATTACTATTACCCTTCAGTCTTTAACCTAGAGTTAGAGAAAAATCCAAGAATGCTTGTTTTGGGTAAGTATTAAAGCTGGAGGATCAGCATGACAACCAGGCATTGGTTATTGTCAGAAGGAATGGTCAGCGATGATGTCTTCAATGTTTCTATAAATGACAGATTTTTTCAAGGATTTTTATAGTAATTCATGACTTAGAAGGGGGATCTTTAATGTGTTTATCATTTTAAAGATTTTTTTTTTTTTTAAGGCAGTCCATAGAGATGAGTAGTTCTCCAATCCGGAGGATTATGTGTAGGCTGAAATGGATCTTTTATTGGCATTCCACACAAACTCCTTGACTAACAAATCTTGGCCACAAAATAGTGTGACATGGATGGTAACTCTTCTTTCCCTGCAGTGAAGAGTGATGACAATGAATAAACATACAAACTTGATTAGTGTGATAGTGAATGTTTATTTCTGGATTATATTACTTTTTTTTTTATCTGTAATAATCCTAGTTATTAGGGTTTGTTTTTAACCAATCACCTTTAAATCTGATTTAGTTATTTTTGGGTGGAGCTGTTGAACTGTAAATGATAATTTTCCTGATTTTCTTTGTTCCTTCTCTAGATTAGTGCTGTTCGTCTGCCCCGTGAACCCAGCAATCCAGAGAGATTAAAAGGGTTTGGTTACGCAGAGTTTGATGACTTGGAATCTCTTCTGCGGGCTTTGAGTCTTAACGAGGAAGTAAGTTAATCTGTGATACCTGATATTTGCCTGCCAGGCTTCCTGTTTGTACAGATGGTGAAGGCATGGAGTCTTGGCCAACCATCCATTTCCAATCTCTGTAGATTTCTCCACTTCAATTAAAATTGGAATTTGGCATATATCCTCACCTGACTGCCTAAGCTGACCAGCTTTGTTCAAGTGGAACTGAACCCACCAAAAGCTAAGCCCAAGAAAATATGACAAAAGAAAAAAGACAAGTCATCAGTATTGCCTCTTGTCTTCCTGCAGCTGATAATTTACCATATTTTGTTTTTTGTGTGTGTGTGTGTGTGTGCGTGTGTGGCCATTTTCTTAGAGAGAGGACTTTTCTTCCTCTTATCAAAGCCTCCAGGCATGGAAAACCCTTGGAAATACAGTGGCAACATGACCAAATCTTACCCAGAATGTCCCTGATGATAGATGTATCAGAGCCTTAGATCTCACAAGCAGATATGCACCCTCATACACCAGGAAGTGCACGTTATTTTTGCAGGAGAAATTCAAGATAAAATGTTTTGTTTTTTCCCAGAGTACTGCTTATGCGTGCAATTAACATTTATAGGTGTTCCCCTATAACGTTTTACGTGAATTTGGTTCACTTTTAGAATTCATGTGAGGCACTTTCACAAAATCTGAGCCAGTTTTTTTCTGTACACCAAAAGAGTTGATCTTAGCTCTACTTTTATATTCTGTGCATTCAATGCAACACAAGATAAAAGTGGCACAGTTTAGAACTGCCTGTCTACACTTTAGTTGCAACATGCTGTTTCAATATTTATTCCAAATTGGTTGAATTTCTCCTCCCTTGTGTGTCTAAAGGTTGTTAACCTTTAGCAATATGTTACGTGCTACACCTGTATTTAGGGTGTATTATATTACAATGAATCCCTCGCCCCCAGAGTTGCAGTTAAAATCAGCTTGGCTGCGTGGGGCTCTGCATGCACCGTTGCGTCATTTGTTCACAGTGAAATGCCAATGAATAAACTACAAGTCCCGTTTGCCACTGTGGCAGACGGACTTATAGTTCTCAATGGACTATAGGAGTGGTGATCAAAACCTTTGTGGTTCATTGAGATTTCCTGCAGCTCTGAAATTGCCAGCACGAATAGAGGTTTGGGCAGAGAGCTCTAGGAAGTGTCTGCAAGAACCTGACATTGCACACATGATCCACGGTTCACAAGTGCAATGCTGTGCACACTCCTGAGAAAATTAGTGTTACTAAACCCAAACAGTGAAATCAGTCTGTATATGCAGCAAAGTATGCTTGGTATACTCTCTGTGGTTCCTAAGAGGGTAATCCTTCGAATTGTGTAAAAAGGCTGTTTGATCCAGTTCTCTGATCCTCCAGTGCCCCCACTTATCTCCTGATAAGACCTATCGTGTGGAGACACTCTGCACATACTCAGTTTGGTGTGTATTACTAGAGAGGGTTTTTTTTTTTCCCTTGGGAGAGTGCATGTGATCAGCACAGCACTAATCAGCACTGTCCAGACAGAGGTCAGGCGTCCTGCATCCTTCTAGAGCAGGAAGAAAACTACAAACTTAACCAGTGCTCAGCTGGACATTGATAGAAGTCACAACTGTGCTAACTGATGATGAGAAAAGGTATTTATCAGTTTATATTTACTAAAATAGGTTCTGTGTACTGTGGGAGACCAGATATAGTGAATGCAGGATCCTGGGTTTAGTAACACTTTAATGTACTTTTTTTTTTTTTTTTTCTACTTGCAAAAGTGCATTTATTATTTTTTTAAACAAAGTTGAACTTGGCCTTTAAGTTGTACAGCTTCAGCTTGCCAGCTGTGAAAAGAAGCACAAGTTGAAAATTTTTTTTTTTTAGATATATAGATATAGATATATATATATATATATATATAATATATATATATATATATATATATATATATCCTCTGCAAGCCTGCAGTTTAGGTCCCGACCGCCTAGGCGATGACGTAGATGGGCGATTTTGCAAGGTCTCCTGGGATGTCGTTTCCTGTACACAGGAGTCCTTTGGTTTCCTGTGCTCGCGAGCCTTCTTGCAGTGCTGTACAGGTTGCCCGGCAGGGGCGGGAAACTTCATCCGTCCCCACCATTGCTATGGCAACCTGTACTACACACGTCGCGCCGAGCATTGTCTGTACTGCGCATGCGCAAGAACGAGTGTTATATGCTGGGATAGCCAGCAGCACGAATTCAGGAACTAAAGACCTGCAGGCTTCAGTAATGCCCACAGCCATCATGGCGACTGCCTGTTTCACAGATCCTGGTAAATATGGACGATTTGCAAAGTAATTACAATGGTTTTAATATTGAATTATTCCAATTCTAAATGATATTTGTAATGTCATCGTGGATCTGCTTTTAAAAAAAAATTTTGGGGGGGGACTGAAACTCCACTTTAAAGTAACAGGTTAATAGTGCATAGTGGAAAACGAGCCTGCACATGTGCATGCTTTCCTGCACTGGTTATGTACTTGTTGCCAACCGAGAGGAGGCAGGGAGCGGCCCTAGTTTACTGCAAAGTCTGTTATAAAAATATACATGTATGCCTAATTTATAGAAATATTGTATACACTGAGTTTTGCTACGCAGTTGTCATGAGCAAATCTGAAGTGAGTCTCCTTGGAAATCCTATAGTTGTAGCTCAGCTCATAGGCATATGAGCTGCATTCATCACTGTGCTTTCAAGAGCTCTGTAAAGCCAGAACTGCTGAGTATAGCAGAATATCTCTTGTGGTTTTTATTTTTCCTTTGTGAGTGTGTACAGTGAGGAAATGCTGACTGTGGAAAGGTACACATCAATGCTTCTGCTGACTTTTTTCATTTACCCTTAACAGAGCTTTGGGCAGTTCATGCTCCTGTCTGTTATGTTCTGTTAGTTAAAGTTGATAAAACCTTGCTTAGCTTTATTAAGACTACACTTAGACCATCTAGTGCATTATTTGTATTAAGTTTGATTTTTGTCTGAACTGTTGTGGAAAAAATCATAAACATTCTTTCACTAGTTGGTTTATCTTGCTCAATTGCCTTGGCTAGACTAGACACTTTCACCATTGAGAGCAAAGGAACAGTTGTTCAGTAGCCCACCCCTGACCAACTTATACTCTTGCTTATGCCTCACTGTGTAGAGTCAGACTCTGCATAAGATATGTCAGTTTCCATAGCAAGGAAGAATGATCTGGTAGGAATCCTTTTTTTTTTTTTTTTTTTTTTTTTTTTTTTTTTTCTTCTAATATAAACCCATATTAGTTGAACATAACGGAACCAAATAAAACAAAATCAAGTTAGATTTTTAATTCTGTGAGAAATCCCAAACAAAAACGGTTTGGTCAATCAATGCATCACTGAAATTTATTGTTCCCCAGTAAGGTATTCTAAATTGTACCAAAGTTTTGTGCACAGTTCTGTTGCAGGGAAACCTGCATTGAGTAAGCATGTAAGCTGCTATCATTGATCGCCTCCTGATAAGTTTAGTTATCTGGCTGTTCACTAGTTTGAGTCATGATCAGGGATAAGCATTTATCCAGTAAATTCAAAAAGTGTCTGGGTGAGCAACTTGAAGACAGGTGATAAGCAAGGCAGCTATGTAGCATTTTCAAAGATTGGAGTCAAAAATAATTGTGGTTCTGGTTTCTTACATTCCCACTCTTTTTATGAAGACAGATTTTATTTTTCTTTATTAACGTTCTCTGGTTTCCCAGTCTCTAGGAAACAGAAGGATAAGAGTGGACATAGCTGACCAAGCACAGGACAAAGGTAAGTAGTCTGTTATAATGCATTTGCCTGAAACCCCTTTTGCTACAGGCCCTGCTCTCTGTTTCTAACCCCATGTGGCTAGATTTTTTTTTTTTTTTATTTTTTATCCACTTATCATGTTTCACCATTTGTGTTACCTACATCATTGAAAACACCACCCACTAACTATACATTTTCTGAATGCACAGGGCCCATAAATGTTTTTTATCGCAGTGTAGTGTGTGTTACAATGTGAAGGAAAGCCTTGTAATTTGCTGCCCTGTGTGGAGTTAAATTAATGCAAGTTGAAGAGGGGGAAAAAAAAGCACTGCAATTATTAATAATATTATTATACAGTATTTATAAAGCGCCAATAGTTCACTCAGCGCTGTACATTACAAAGGGGGACAGAACAATACACAATAACAATACCAATACAATGCAAAACATGAGGGGATCGAGGGCCCTGCTCTTTCGAGCTTACAATCTCGGAGATGCATTGTAACAATGTATAATCTGTACACTAGTGAGATTAACGCTGGTGTAATCAGGCCCTTAGTATGTTGGTACACTGCATCAACAGATTTAGGCCTCATGCGCATGCATGCTTAGCAGATCCTGTTTGCTGAGGCATAAAATCTCCAGTGCTTTCTGGGGAGCCCAATGCTCCACATGCAATTGCCAAAGAAAGTGAGTAGTTGTATACGGCCATGCTCTGGTAAGCACTAGTAGCTTCTGCGCTGACATTTATCAACACATGAGCCTCACCATGTTTTTGGAGAAGTAGATATGCACACGTACGGATAAATACAGATGTAGCAGACATGAGCGCATATGGCAATTCACTTGCATTGGTGGGCTGAATGCAGGAGCTAAAAGTGGCATGGATTTTATACCTCAGCAAACAGGAACTGCCATGTCTGTGAAGCCTTAATGCCTGCAATCAGAGGCTTATTAGTCACTGGTCATAGCTATTAGCAGAGTCTAGAGGACCCTCCTGCTATAATTTCAAAGTCTCTGAAGTGACTATGAGCTTATAACAGAAGGAAATGCAGCCGACATAAGGATTACTGACCAGCTTCCAGCAGTTTTGTTCCGCTGCAACCCATCTGTTGGTGGCAGGGGAAGAGGGAATGATTTAGAACCAAGTTTGGATTTTACTGCTGTATTTCTTGCTAGGAATATTTCCACTCACATTATGCTTTTGTGACAGGATAAAAAAATTAGGGTAATGAATATTCCTGAACAATAGCAATAAAAACCTGACCAATTCTAACTTTGTACATTTTACTGAAAAGTATTTTTCTGTTTCATTTTCGAGATTTAATTTCGCTTCCCATGCCTTTTGACTCCTTGGTATCAGGGCAGGCAGTAAGGAGAGATCTGTCTTTTGGGTATGCATCTAGCAGTAAATGTCCTTCTTGCTTTTGAAAATAGGTTTTAGCTAAAATTGGGTACTACATTTAACATGTTCCCAACCACGCTATAACCAAGAGACAGCTGCAGCGTGGTTGGCTACTTCTGGGAGGGAGTCCATGGACTTCCTCCCAGAACCACACCCCCCGCATGCCCTGCGTGTGAGCTGTGATTGCTGTGTCCTTTGGACACAGCCGATCACATGACTAAGGAACTGGCCAATCACAGCCGTTTTGACCATGTGACCAGCTGTGTCCAATTACAGCTGATCACCGAGTAAATAGGAAATGCCGGTTATTGGCAGTCCTCTCCTTACGCTGACAGCACGTGAGGAGAGCAGAGCCAGGAAGCAGTATTTCGCAGGGGGACATCTGCACAGCGAGTAAATGAGGCGCCGGCCCTAATGAGAAAAAAAAAAAAAACTTTATTCCTTCAGGTTATTCTCACACAAGGAATCACTTGGGTGTTCAGTACAAGTGCCTGCTGAGCAGCCAAATCAAGCTCCATTGCCTGCTCCTTTTAAAGGAAAAGTTCACCTCTTAACTTCTTCCTGCCTGGCCTATTGTACATAGATGGCCAAGTGGGAAAACCTATTATGCTGGGAGGATGTCATATGACATCCTCCCAGGATCACGCTTCACTTGTACCCCACAGGCCAAGCTCCAGCACGATCTGTCATCAGCCATGTCCATGGGACACAGTCAATGACAGATCACAACATCGGGATGCTGCCGGTATCATGTGATCGCTGTGACCAATCACAGCAGATCACATGACAGTTGTAAGCAGTGAATGGCTTCCGTTCATGCCATTCATTGCTTATAACTGTGCAGTGAGCTGTGATTGGTCACAGTGATCACATGTATAGACTGGGCCAATCACAGCCCATCTGTAGCATATGTGATCAGCTATGGCCAATCGCAGCTGATCACAACAAACACTACTGAATTAATCTGTTTCGTTAAGTAAAAATGCTTGCTTATACCAATGAAATTCGTTGGTATAAGCAATCACAATGTGTTTAAAAAAAAATAAAAAATCCCAATCACTTGCACAGAGTTGTAAAATGTTATTATGGTAATATTGTATTGCTCTGATCACCGGAGTAGGGGAAAAAAAAATAATAAAGAAAAAGTAATAAAACAGCACTTTAGCACGGTGTGTGGAAGCAATCAGTGGCGCTGCTGTAGGGCTAAATGTTTAAAAAAAAAAAAAAAATCTTAAAAACAACTTGCTCCGCATCTAGAACTACATGTCCTGGGTGTCGGGCAATATATATTGCACATCCCTGATGTCACATGTTCCCCGGATCCTTAAAGCAACCATAATTTGTCATTTTTAAATCTTCCAAAACAAATACCATGCAAAAAAAGACTGTAAATACCTTTTACGGCTGTCCATGATGCCAAACACTGCTCCCTTTTAGAAGAATGATCCTTTGCATTCCTCTTAGAAAATGGGCATTTCCAGAAGCGTTTATCTCCTGAGTCTCCCACAGCTCTCATTGGTTTCTCCTGGAGATCTCTGTTACTACAGGAGACAATAATAACATGAAGGTCTCCTCTTTTGTGGAGAACTTGTGATATTGTTACATGCACACAATGACCACTCTGTCATAAACTCCTGCAGCTGCTTCAGAGTTGCTGTAGGTCTTCTGGTAGCCACTGTGACCAGTTTCCTCCTGACCAGTTTGGAGTGACGTCCTGATCCAGGGAGGGTCTGTGTTGTACCAAATACTTTCCACTTAATAATAGACTTCACTGTGCTTCCAGGCAATAATAAAGCCTTTTGAAATTATTTTGTATTGCTCTCCTGACTTGGCTGTCCACAACTTTATCCCAGAGATCTTTCGAGAGTGCTTTGTCACTCCTAGTTGTTTGCTTTGGTTGCACTACCAGTGACTGAAGTTCTCCAGGAAAGCTCTTTTCATGCTGAGCTAATCAAAATGACTAGAGCTGATCACAGATGAGTCAAATAACTGTGTGCCATTGCAAAGGTGATTAGGTACACCTGATTGAAGTAATTTTGGGGAGGGTGATCCTTTTTCCAAGTTGGTGATTCTGTTTTATAATTAAAAAAAAATTGTGGCATGTTGGTGTTATATCGTTCACTTGGAAGTTATAATTTGCATTGAGTAAATACAGCTGGATAAAACAAAAACTGTCTTCATTTCAGACTGCAAAGCCACAAAATTTAATATTTTTGGGGTGGGGGTAATTCTTTTCTATACCCACTGTATGAACATGTGCTGTGGTGGAAACTTTTTTTTTTAATACAAGAGAAGGGAGGCCGCAAGATTACCAGACCTTGCATTTAATGCACAATCAACTTTAGGCATAGCAATACACTGATAATCAAGTTGTACTACAATATGTGAACAGGCTGTGTCTAGTGGCATTGCCTACTTGATGGCTTTCAGAAGCTTGCTTGCGATTGATGGTCTTATCATTTTACCCCTGATTTTGTACAGTATTTAGCAGTCATGTACAAAGACTTTTTTATCTTCATATGCCTAAGAAGTAACAGCCCAGTAACTTTGATTTACTACAATTTCTGTGTGTTCAGATCGGGACGATCGCTCATTTGGCAGAGATCGGGACCGCAATAGAGAGTCTGATAAAACAGATTCCTCTGACTGGAGGGCGCGTCCCAGCACAGACAACGATGATTATCCTCCTCGCCGTGAGGAGGGCTTCGGAGACAGTAAGTGCTTGTACCCCATAGGGAATCACTCTAGGTCAACTCTGAAAAGAAAGGCCCCTCATTGTCCAGCAGCTTTCCTTTATTCCTAAAGCTGCACCTGTAGTGCTACAATCAGCATGTTGATAAATTTGTATTACTGTTGGACAAAAAAAAATGTAGGGATATTTATGCAATAAGTTAGTGAAGTCCACATATGTAAAGCAGTGTTTTGGTTTTAAAAGTATGTATACCCCAAGGAGCCAGTGCTAAGATATTGACGCATTATAGACATTTAGAAGAAGCTAAATGGATGCTAGTGGCTGCTTCAGAGCATGATAAATGTTTTCCTGGAATACTAATGTTAATCTTCTGACAGGGTATCGAAATGACCGGTATGAGTCAGACCGATATCGTGATGGCCCACGCAGGGATGACCGCTATGATCGAGACAGAGGAAGGGATCGCTATGATGATCGTGACCGCCGGGATTATGATAGAGGCAAATATCAAACATGAGCAAAAAACAAAGTGTTTGATGTGGTTTTCAGATTTATCGCTTTTCTTGCATTGCACTCAACTTCTATAATTGATGTGTGATTGAGCTACGTTGATAAGTATTTGCTCTGTTCTCCGCTCTGTAAATACTTTTTTGAAAATGTAGAAAGACTTTTCTCCTGGACAGTATTTTATATATACAAGATACTGACATGAAATGTGTTTCATAAATCATCTTTAGTTTACAGTCTTTCTGCCCTTGCTGAAATGTGCACATAAATTTGTATCTGTTTTACACACACACTGAGGAGAATTTACCCAGACTGGAGCAGATAGAATCGATAGCTGTTGTTTATAGCAACCAATCAGCTTCTGCCTTTCAGTTTCTGCTGTACTGAGATTTTGTAGCCATACTCTCCACTTCGCATGCTCCCCCTCACAGCTCCTTCCTCCTCCACAGCCAGCTTTGAGGTCAGCTGAGTTGGTGCCACTCCACCTACAGTGGAGAAGCTGTGAGGGAGTGCGAACAAAGTGAATATAAGGGTATCTTTCCAGACCAAAAAAAGATTTGTGAAAAGAGATTCACAAGAAAAGTGGCTACATTATGGACAGAATGCGATACTCAGAAAAATTTCCAAAAATTATGCTTTATTACACATTTAATAATTAACAATCGGGCAATTGCCCTGGTTTGCCATCACCTCAGTATGAGACAATACACACAGACTTAAAACCATTAAAAATCACACCAAGACCGGTCTGGATATATATGTGCTGCAAAGGCTATGACAACCATAGTCTAAAGCAGCGGTTCTCAAACTGTGGGTCGCGACCCCTTTGGGTACTCTCACTCTGATGTATATATAGTATAAGTAACAAAGAGCCTTCTTCGTTATTCCTGTAACAGTCCACTCACCACCTGTGCCATAGGTAGTAGAAAATAGAAATATCCTTCAAAGGTACTGCCGTATTGATCCAGGGAACTACCGCTTACATCAGCCGACATTTCGCGGGTTCCAGCCTCTCCATGGTGCCTGTATAGCTCTTGCATGACTCATGGCATGTGAAAATGGCTGCCTCCTTGTAGGTCTGCGTGCATATCGCCAATGCGCATGACCGGAAGTGACGCATGATGTCAACGCGTTTCGCCGATGGGCGTATCTCACTCAGCTTCGTCAGGACGTATCTCACTCAGGAGAGGCTGGAACCCGCAAAATGTCGGCTGATGTAAGCGGTAGTTCCCTGGATCAATACGGCAGTACCTTTGAAGGATATTCCTATTTTCTACTACCTATGGCACAGGTGGTGAGTGGACTGTTACAGGAATAACGAAGAAGGCTCTTTGTTGCTTATACTATATATACATCAGAGTGAGAGTACCCAGAGTGACAATTCCTATATCATTTGTCTTATTACAGGATGGGGATATTATGATGCTTTATATAAGGCATATAACATATATTTCAACAGGCGGAAGACCTATTGGGCCTCATCTTATTTCAAATATCAAAGTGGTTTGCAGTCCACATGTTGTGGTGAAGAAACCATATAAAGCAGGCCTCTGCTATTTGTATTTATCTCCATCAAGACATCAACAGGGACTCTTTCATCCATAAGAATCTTTGCAACTATTTACGTATATCACAAATAGATGGGCCCCAACCACATGTGCCTCTACAGGGTTGTACTGCATGAATCCATCACTATATTACTGGGGTTTATTCCCCCTTCTTTTCATTCTATTTTTTACCCATATTGCCTTGTATAGGCTTAGGGTTATGCTTCTCTCTATGTGGTAACTGTATTTGCTTATATACATGCATGTGATATTATATACCTATGGTATAATTTTCGTAAACACCTCCTACAGGGAGTGTAACCAATGTGCGGTGCTGCAAATGCTTTAGACTATGGTTGTCATAGCCTCTGCAGCACATATATATCCAGACGGTCTTGGTGTGATTTTAATGGTTTTAGGTCTGTGTGTATTGTCTCATACTGAGGTGATGGTAAACCAGGGCGATTGCCCGATTGTCAATTATTAATGTGTAATAAAGCATAATTTTTGGAAATTTTCTGAGTATCGCATTCTGTCCATAATGTAGCCGCTTTTCTTGTGAATCTCTTTTCACAAATCTCTTTTTTGGTCTGCATATTTTTTGGCTACTGGATGGAAGCCATATATTGGGTGATACAGTAATTTATATTTGAACCTCTAAACCTATCTTTTACTAACTGTATCTTTCCAGACCATGCTGGTTTCTTTGATTATACCACCTAGGCATGAAGTAGTCAAGTCATAATCTGGTGTTCACTAATGTAAGCTTGTCATTTTTATTTGTCTTAATGCTTATCTTATCAGGTTATGACTCACGGGGAGGTAGTGGAAGAAGAGCATTTGGCAGCGGGTACCGTCGAGATGATGAATTCAGAGGTGGTGCAGATCGATATGGTGGTGATAGGTATGATGACCGGCGTGATGACCGGCGTGATGATAGGTCGGACAGGTGGAACGGCTATTCTCGAAATGAGGAAAGGAAGGAAGAAAGAGGTATATGCAAGATACAAAGGAAAAAAAAAATTAAACATTGTTGCATGCTGTATTAAACTGAATGGATTATATATAAGCTGTTTGGGCATTATGAATCATACATGTTCCAGCTGTTAAATTTTATATCCCTATTTTATCAACATAGGTCCTCCCCAGAGGCCAAAGTTGAATCTCAAACCTCGTTCTGCACCCAAGGAGGAAGAGACCAGTGGTTCAGCACCCTCGAGTCGAGCTGCATCAATATTTGGGGGTGCCAAACCCGTGGATACAGCTGCCCGAGAACGTGAGGTAGAAGAAAGATTGCAGAAAGAACAGGAAAAAATGCAACGTCATTTGGATGATGACCGGCCTCGACAGATAGAAAGGAAGCCACGGGAAAGGTAAGAGTGGTTTGAATAATTTGATGTACTCTCCTTTTTATCACTTATATTTCATCCATTTAAGTAATGCTTGCTATCTAGCTTGGTTAAAGGGTAACTCCACTCTGAAGATATGGCATATGCAATCGCTACACAAGCTATATTGTGTAATCGAATGTTATTAAAAATAACCTCTGCAGCACTGTAATTTTTTGTACAATTCAGTGCAGTATGGCAACCTAGAAGTGTTCCATTCAGCATTGGTGTATGGAACACCCCCAGAAATGTTATTTCCTGCTTGCTGATTGTCTCACCGATTTTCCCAGAAGTTTGTACAAAGATACAAGTCAGATTTTAGGCATCCTCTGCAATAAAAAATAACTTTTGTTCAGATACTCCCAAGGGGTTAATAGGTTTTTGATTTCTCAACAAAAGTGGAGTTACTCTTTAAATGGTATCCCTAGTGCAGATACTATACTTGAGTCCCCAGGCCTTTCTCACTAAATTACCTCAAGTTCCAGAGATTTTTTTTTTTTTCCTTCATTTCGTTGATTTTTCAGTTTCCACACAATTATACCTTTTAGGTTTTCTATTCTACCCTGAAGTGTTATATATTTTTTTTTCCAAGACAGATATGTTTTTGATTTGGCAGCAGATTTGTATTCTTATATATATTAGGAATAAATCGTTAAAAAATAGGAAAAAATGTACTTCAGAATGTGTTACTTAATTTGAACACCCCCAAAAAATTTAATCTGAAGTACATTTTAGATATGTGTGTATATTTGTGTGTGTGTATATGTACGTACACACACACACACACACACACACACACACACACACACACACACACACACACACACTCTCATAGAAGTGAGTCCACCCCTCACATTTTTGTAAATATTTTATTCTATCTTTCCATGTGACAACACTGAAGAGATGACACTTTGCTACAATGTAAATTAGTGAGTGTACAGCTTATTGAAAATGTCCAAATTGGGCCCAAAGTGTCAATTTGTGTGACCACCATTATTTTCCAAATGTATAGTAGTAATAATAGCGAGCGCTCTAGAAAAAGTAGCAGCTAGAACACTAAAAGGAAATCACAATAACCTTAAAGTAACAATCGGTAAATAAAGTGCAGCGCTGAGAAAGGATAAATGGATAAATAAATGTGAATGAATCAAAGTTCATTCAGAATAATTTGTTCGCACGATGTCCTCTAGTAAATGACACCACTGGAAATTTCCACAACAGCACGTATGTCTAAGAGCTTGTCACAGGAAACAAATGGCAGAAGTGCGCACTCACCGACTGCGCATAGGAAATGTGCATAAATGTAACCGCCAAATGGAGTGTAAACAGCAGGCAGATGGTGGGTTTCCCTCAGAAGAATGGTCATCAAGATTGGGTGAAGTGTAACTCTGCTGGATCCTGAGGTCTCCTTTAGGGATGTGTGGATATTCAGCATGGATACAGGGCTCCCTCCTCTGGATACTGGATGTACTGTGGGTATAATAGCTTCTCCAATAGGAGCCAACAAAGGGGGGTGCCAATAGTGTAGTAACTTCAGGTATTTATTGAATAAACATGTTAAAAACACAGGGTGCAGGTACAGATACAAAGTGCCAAATATTAAAGCAGAGTACTGGAGCATTGACCCTTAAGCAAGATGGCCGCCGGGCCTCCTCGTGGTCCAGGCGGCGATGACGTCACACGCTGTTAGCTCCTCCTGAGGCCTTTCATGCTAAGGCACATCGTCAGAGGGGAGGCTAACCTTGCTTAAGGGTCGGTGCTGCAGTACTCTGCTTTAATATTTGTCACTTTGTATCTGTACCTGCACCCTGTGTTTTTATCATGTTTATTCAATAAATACCTGAAGTTACTACACTATTGGCACCCCCTTTTTTGGCTCCTATTGGAAGAGCTATTATACCCACAGTACATCCAGTATCCAGAGGAGGGAGCCCTGTATCAGGCTTTTGTAGCCAACAGTTTAGACATTAATGGCTGTGTGTTGAGTTATTTTGAGGGGACAGCAAATTTACAGTTATACAAGCTGTACACTCACTACGTCACATTGTAGCAAAGTGTCATTTCTTCAGTGTTGTCACATGAAAAGATGCAACAAAATATTTACAAAAGTGTAAGTGTGTGTGTGTGTGTCTGTCTCGTGTGTGCATTTTTTTTTTCTTTTTAATCTCAATGAACAAGAACAATTACCAAAATTTTCACAAAACTGAGTTTTATAGAACATTTGTTTAGCTCATTATATGAAAGGAAAGTTAATAATAATATAACTTAGATTACAAAATCTTCAGTTTTACTTAAATTAGTTGATGCAAAAAAATGAATACACCCCACAACAAAAACTACTACATCTAGTATTTTATATGACCTCCATGATTTGTAAGGACAGCACCAAGTCTTCTAGGCATGGAATGAGCAAATTGGTGACACCTTGCAACATCTATCGTTTTCTATTCTTCAAGAACGACCTCTTTTAGAGCCTGGGTGCTGGATGGCAAGTTGTCTCTTCAGAATTCCCCATAGGTTCGATTGGGTTCAGATCAGGAGACCTACTTGGCCACTGAATCACTTTCACCCTGTTTTTCTTCAGAAATACAACAGTGGTCTTAAATGTGTGTTTTGGATCATTGTCATGTTGAATTCATATAATCATCCAATGAAATGCAGCTCCCCGACACCAGCACCACTCATGCAGCCCCAGAGGAAGACCCTGCCACCACCATGTTTCACTGTAGGCACTATGCATTTGTACTCCTCACCTTTGCGATGCCATACAGTTTTGAAGCCATCAGTTCCAAAAAAACATTTATCTTGGTCTCATCAATCCAAAGTCCCAGTAATCTTTTTTTAGCATGGGCTCTGGCAAAGTCCAGGCGGGCTTTCTTGAGCATGGGCTTTAGAACATGCTTCCTTCATGGACAACAACACCCACACATGCCATTCCTCTGCAGTGTACGCCATATTGTGTCATGGGAAACAATCATCCCAGTGTAGCTTTCTACTTCTTTAGCTAACTGCAGTGAACTTGCATGGTGATTTTTTTTTTTTTTTTTTTTTTTTCTTCTTCAACCCATCTGATGTCGATGTGTTCGCTTCCGTGGATGGCCTGAATGTCTCTATGAGATGGTTGCAGGTCCATCTTTGTTACATTTTTGTATCTTTTGCTACCGTATTCTGACTGATAAGTAAAGCTTTGCTGATATTCTTGTAGCCTTCACCTTTCTTTTGTAAAGAAATTTTTTCTTAGGCCTTGTGACATTTCTCTTCCATGTGGTGCCATTGCTGACAGCATGAAATGGGACGGGTTTTCTTTAACGCCCTTTTATAATCAACTGTCCACTGGACACCTGTTTAATGAATAATTAGACTCACCTTTAGTTGATTTCTTGTTAATTAGGATTTTGTTGTCTAAAATTTTTAGCTTTGCTCCTAAGACTTTTATTGGGGTGTATTCATTGAATGAATTTGTTAGGAAAAATACTTTTGTGTGTGCAAATGAACAAATCTTGTTTGCAATCAATGGTCCACATTTGTGGGAGTATTTTGTAGTATAGTGTCCCAAAGAAAATGTTGATTCTGAAAGGAAAGGTTTTCTGACAAATCTGTTGGGGTGTACTCATTTATCCTGAGCACTGTATATATAATATAAAACTGCAACTTTTTTTTTTTTTTTTTTTTTTAAAGGTTTGTGATTGCTAAAATTCAAATGACATTCTGTTCAGTTAATAATTTTTCTGCAGACACGTCAATGTCATCCATATAGTCCAACACTTGTTGCGACATGGGGTTTCATTTTGATCTCCTTGCAGACCAAATCCAGACGCCTATGCAACTGTGCAGCAGCATATCACTTCTAATTGTGATCTGTTGCTGGCTTCAATTGCTTAACTTAATTGCTTAGAGATCCTTATAACGGTGATCTTTTGCTGCAGAGAGACCATGGACAGAGCTGCAACAGCTGTGTCCCAGCCTTTGTACTCAGAGGAAGTGCCATGGCATCACAACACTCCTGATTGTGTTTATATTCTCTTCTGCAGTCCTTTTGGAGCTATCTTTAGAAGCCTAGGGTGTCTTTTTAAAACCTTGCGGGGATGAATAGTCGCTATCTCTGCTTCACTTTAAAATAGCACTGTAGGCTCAAGTAGCTAAAGCTGAACATTCTCTTCCACACTTGTAGAAAATCATCTCCTGTGCTGTTACTGATTGCTGTCAATTTCCTGCAGACTTGCATTTCAGCAATATACCCCTTTGAAGCTGCATCCGCTAATTTGAGCCCTTATTCATCTGCTGTCAGAATAACTTCAACCATTTATCAATCCCCTCTCCTCCAAGTCTGGACTGTTGTTGGCCTGCCTGTTTACAGATATTGTCTTTCTCTGCCATCAATTTTGTTCCTGAGTATTATGTGAAAGAACACATCCCTGGTATCCCTTTTAGACGTGCTTGCTGAAGCAACTAATCAGCTGACAACACAGCCAGGCATGTGTTCCTTCATGTAATGCTCTTGATAGAAAAGTGCTGTGACACACGAATGTCAGCCTGTAATGTTGCTCATCACAATAATATATATCCACACAACTTTATATAAAAAAAAAGTCCAATCTTGGTGCTCAGAGGAAAATGCTCATGCAGGTGCTAAACATGTGATCACTCTTATGCAAATCCTTAATGGCTGAAGTGCCCCCTCACCTCCTTGTATCGACCCTACTGGGTCAGCTCGCTCAGAGATATAAACCCCTCAGGATGGTATCAGGATTATTGGCCAAATCCACTTCAACGTATTCCAATCTTCCCATATACAGCCCTGTCAGTCCTCTCCAGGCCATATATAAACAAAAAACCTCCATAGTTTAAAACCTTTTTATTGGGGTATAAACAAATAAAAATGCCCACTCACATATTCCTTCGCCTCTGACACTGAAGATCTACCACATGCTGGAATTGTACTGCATGGGTATACAATACAGGATTTTCAAATATGGCTCCAACTCCGGAAGTGACGTCACCGCGCACCCGGAAATGCCTCCTCGCGTACCGACGCGTTGCGTCACGAGACACGTGATGAAATCATGTGTCTCGTGACGCAACGCGTCGGTACGCGAGGAGGCATTTCCGGGGTGCGCGGTGACGTCACTTCCGGTGTGGGAGCCATATTTGAAAATCCTGTATTGTATACCCATGCAGTACAATTCCAGCATGTGGTAGATTTGCAGTGTCAGAGGCGAAGGAATATGTGAGTGGGCATTTTTTTTTGTTTATACCCCAATAAATAGATTTTAAACTATGGAGGTTTTTTGTTTTATATATGGCCTGGAGAGGACATCACTGACAGGGCTGTATATGGGAAAATTGGAATACGTTGAAGTGGATTTGGCCAATAATCCTGATACCATCCTGAGGGGTTTGTATCTCTGAGCGAGCTGACCCGGTAGGGTCGATACAAGGAGATGAGGGGGCACTTCTGCCATTAAGGATTTGCACAAGAGTGATCACATGTTTAGCACCTGCATGAGCATTTTCCTCTGAGCACCAAGATTGGACTTTTTTTATATAATGTGTGTTTATTATTGTGATGAGCACCACTATTGGATATTTGTATATATAATTTTGTGTGGATATATATTACTGTGATTCTCATGAGTGTTGGATTGGACATTGGTCACATGTACACTTGATTACACGTTTTGCACTGTGTATATTTTACTCCCTGTGTGCACTGGGGGGTTTTGCATTTATTTGTGTTTTATTTATTGATTTGTAGCGCTGCACTATTTATTTGAGCGCAGGAGGATTTTTACCATTTCTGTAAGCCTGTAATGTTGCCTTACACTCCCCATAGCACATAGTGCAGCATGTGGGTTAGCCACGGTGCTTTGCAGGTCCAGAGCCGTGTCCCTGAAGACCCCTTCAGGGGTATGCCCACCTTTGGAGGGTGAAGCCAGAAGTTCACTTTATAAAAAAAAAAAAAAAAAATTATAAATGCAGATGTTATGCAGGTAAAGTGCATTTAATTATTTCTGGAGCCTGTAGAGCATTGCACCCACGACCAGCAGGTCCTCTTTGGTAACACATTACATGTTACACCCTAAATATGGGTAAAGTACAGGGTGGAAGCCTTTTAGGCATTCTCCCATAGTACCCATTTTATTCCCCTTTGGGGTGTGTAAAGAATGCTGTCCATGCTTATGTTTGCATGCTTGGACATTCCAGGATGGCTAGGATTACTGGTTTTTGCTCGTTTTCTCTGTCCCGCTGGAGGGCATCTGATAACACTTTAATAAAATGAAAGATTGTTTGCTGCCACTAATTGTGTCCCGTGCAAGAAAATGTATTACTCTACAATGCTAAGCTGCTGCATTCACCAGTAATGTCTGTTCATCACAGACAGTAAAACAAAAAATATCAAGTGTTGTGCTGCTAAAATCTCAAAACTTAGTGTTGCCAACTCTATTCATATACAGTGAAACCATGACTATACCATTTCAATGACATAGATCCATAAATCCATACTATAAATTCTCTTCCACTCCATTTTTAATAATGAAAGTCTTCCTGCTGGTGAGTGAGCCCACTATCCTGATGCTGTAAAACCTTTTTAAACAAAGCGTTTTTCCAGGTGGACCCTCACCTTCATATATTGACCTATAGGTTATAATAGGTCCATATAGCACGTCTCCCCTTCTTTTGGGGTGTAAACAAATCCTCTCACAGGTCATCCAGGCTCTCCTCTCATTTCCACCACTTATTAGGGGTATCTGTATCTTTAATAACTTTGCTATACCACCGCATTAGTTCTGTTGTTCAAACTCGCAGCCTCATAAAGCCACCATAATGTAGTATGTTTAAAACCATTTATTAAAATAACACTTGCATTTCATTAGAAATAATTTGCATGGTAAGAACAATACAAGGCTTCTGATCGCAAACACAGCTCCTTGCCACACTTCTGGTGTTCCAGTTCTGACATTACCTGGCTCCTCCCCACATGTGTCGTCACGTGACTTCATCAGGGGTAGCTAGGTGACATGCGCTGGTTTTTATTGGCTTCGCTCCTTGTTAGGCCTCAGCTCTAGTTTACCTCTTGTCATAGTAACCCTCTATCATGCTGGCACACTGCAAACTAGAGGTTAAAGACAGTACTACAGTAAGATTGCTGCTACCTTCCTATGACTGAACTAATCCCTGTTGGATCATATATCTACCTTCCTTTGATTGGAGCCTTAGACTACAGGGGTCATGACATTGCCCCCTTCTACCTCAGCTCTAATTTCAGTTTTTCACTTTACCCTTGAGCCAGATACTGTATGGAGAAGCTTGAAATTGCAAAAAAATAGTGCACAAACCTTTTTCAATGCCGGTTCCATAGCCACAAATAAACTACAAATTGTCATTTGACTTTGATCTGTCAAGTCGAATGACGAGTCGCATCGGTGTGAACCGGTCCTTACAGTAGTCAGAATCTGCTCACCTTAAAGGCGAAGTTCACTGTTTAAAAACAAATAAATGCACATTTATTTTTAGGAGTAAAAAATGTGTGGGGTTTTTTTTGTTTTTGTTTTGGTTTTTTTTCGAAGGAGCCCGATGGAGCAATGCACCCATGATAAGGAGCTCCAGAAGGTGCAAATGTTGGAACATGTTACTTGTTCCACCCTAAAAACTGGTGGAACGTGTTTCAAAGGTTCCTAAAATTCCCTACACTAGCTAAGACCTTACTGTTTCACACATTGGTTGAGCCTATGCTTTTGTGGTATCTGGATTTACATCACAGGCACTGCCCACTTCCAATTTCCTACCTTAACAGGACTCATGCCCCGTGGAGGATAATCCCATATTTAGAGGTCCCTCCTTAAGGATGTCTTTGCCTTAGTGGGATCTGCCTTTCAGCCTAAAGTTTTATTTAAAGCAGTTAGTCACACCATTGCAGCCAGGAATATGGCACAATCCCAGCTCATCCTTTAAGAATCGCTCTGTCCATCGTCAGCTGGAACATTTTGCCTTCTGCCTTGTGATACTGTGCAAGTGGCTTGATTGGCACACTTCACCAAATTTCTATATTGAGCCTTCTGTCTGTACACATGTGCAGCAATCTCTGGCCTAAATGTTGGTCAGCTGAACTCCCCTGCAAGAAACACCCTGAGTATTTACTCTTTAAAGGAAATGATGGGATAGGCGTACTCTCCTCCCCCAGAAAAAAGATTTTCTTCTCTAGTATGTCTTCTATATCTGATGTTAGAAAGGGTTCCTTTCATCCCCCCGTCTTTCAATACTAAATCTGAGAAAGGAACATACTTTCACAAGTCGACATCACCGTCAAGACCAGCACAGTGATGGGGCTCCCCACCTCTGTTAGCCTCCTTGGCCTTCTGGTCCTAGAACATCTAAAACGCCTGGATTCAAAGTGTTTTCCAGGGGCTACAAATTAGATTTGTGCGCTCTGTCTTCTTCATGCCCTCCAACTTACATCGTTTACAACTTATAACGTTTCAAAACCGAATTGAGGAGGCTGGCCGATTCTGGATCTGAAGATTCTAAACTTGTTCCTTCAGATTCATAAGATTTTCATGGGAAAATACCCAGCCAGTTATTGCTTCCATCCTTCTGGGGGGATTTTCTGGCCTCGCTAGACATGCAGAATGCTTATCTCTACATTACCATATTTCTGCCTCTTCAATGCTATCTGTGGTTTGCATTGGGCGATCAGCGTTACGTTTGTCGCCTCTCCACTGCCCCTTTGATCTTTAGCAATGCATCATTGGTGTACAGAACATTTCCTGCTTCTGTGATTGGCTATTTTTTTTTTCTCTCGGAAGCATGCGCTAAGATACAAATAACATTTTTAGACATCCCCGATATTAGAAATGTAGGTCTTGGCACTGTGCCAAAAATGTAGAGGCTGATCTGCTGAAGCTTTACTACTTCAGCAAAATGGCAGGCTCCAGCAAGAAGCAACAGGAACAATGCTGAGGGCAATTTACAGCATGCATTAATTTTGGTAGTACAACTATTGTGGAATGTATGTTCCTTGCTAACGAACAATATTTTTTATTAAGTTATGGCTACAGTTCCTCTTTACCGCCGGGCATTCTGATCATGTGACCACTGTGATTGGCAGTCGCATGATCAGAAAGCTCCTGATTGTAAGTATATATCGGGAGCTCTCCGGTGCCTACTTGTTACTTTGCTGGGAGTGCACAGTTTGCGCGCTCTCAGCACAGTAAAGTGTTTGACTAGCATATATATGGCCATTTACATTAAAGCCCACCTGCCGAGAGACTGCATGTATACGCCAGGTTGGCAGAAAGTGGTTAATGTATGCTAGAGTAGTATTGTTCCGTGGATGTGCCGTGATACTGGCATTGGAGCAGGTGGTGCTTTTGGTCGTTCTAAAGTTTGCTGAGCATCAGTTTTCAGTTGTGCAAGTTTCATTTAATTCATTATCCTGTAGGCATCCAAGCTGGCGAAGTGAAGAAAACCAAGAAAGGTCTCGGACTGGAAGTGAGTCGTCTCAAACAGGCACCAGTGGGATCATCCTCAAGGAGTAAGCGAAGCATAGAATGCATTTATCTTTCTATTCTTTTTAATTTGTATGACAAATAGTTAATGTACAAATTAACGATTTCAAAAAAGCTGCAAGCGGCTCTGACGTAAAGGCAAATTAAAGCAATCGAGAAGCATAATAAAGCATTTTTCCTGGAAAAAACCTCCCTTGTGTACACATTCAAGACTGCTGCTGGGTGCCACCATCTTATGTGATGTTGGCAACTCCCACTGAATCTGTGCTGTCACTCCAGTAAAACGTTAGTATTCCCATTCACTTCTGTCCTGGCAGCTGCATCAGATTACATAACAAGGTGAAGGGAAGGGCTGAGGACCTTGGCTAGCACTGATTGTTCCCAGATGAGAAGAGAACTATGACATGCAAGGAGGCAGCTGGCTGTGCTAGGAATTGGCTAGTCAAATTTTCTAACAATTTAAAAGCACATTGCAAGTAAACAGTAAAAGATAAATACTCCAAGGAAGCTTTTAAAATAATTAACTTTTCTGTGCTTTTACTTGTCATTTCAGTTGATGGCAGGGTCTCTTGAAATATTTCAGTTTTAAAGACCAGTGCTGGCCAATACACAATTTGAAAAATCATTCAATCTCATTTATAAATAAGGAACCCTTGGTTGTGAGAGCAAACAATATTGCATTTTGAACGGTAAATCAGTCAGTGGACATAAATGAATAGTTTTATTTTTGTTTTGTCACATATGTGCAGTACTGACGGTTTGTTTGGTTTTTTTTTTTTAACGGGCAAGAAACACGTTAACCTTTCAATTTATCATCAATTCAGAAGATATTTTCCAAACTTTCTTGGCTCAAAAACCTCAAAACCGATTTTCTATTTGTGGCCATTAACTTGACAAAAAACTAATGGCGGATTTCTAATTATTTTTCGTCCAGTGTATGGCCTCCATAAGATTTCAAAGACTACCATGGGAATGCAATTATTTTAGTAAATATACAGCAAAATACCTTTTCTCATCATCAGCAGTATATAGCAGTCTTGGCTGGCCATGCACTGGTTAAATTTGTAGTAGGAGTTTTCATTCTCCTCCTGACTGTCCTGTGAGGCTGCATAACAACCCAATCCTCTGTCTAGACAGTGCTGATTGGCCCTTTGCCAATCACATACACCCTCCCAAAAAAAAACTAGCAGTACACAACAAACAGAGAATTCTTTTATGTAATAGGTCTTTTTACTGACCAATAGGCCGGCAGTGTGGGAAACCATACCTTTAAAGTAAAAGTCTAGATTTGCCTAATATTTAATTTGCCCGCGTCTCTGCATCTACTAATTGCTTAGATTTTTTTTTTCCTTTTTTTTATCCACTAAACGTAACATCTGCTGATGCATTCTTCATCATATGCTCAGTTTCAATTGTCCAAGCTTGTGACAGGTTTAATTTAGATTTTATTATGATTCATATTATATTGGGCTATGCAAAGTTTTTGTGTCAATTTACCTATTAGAGGTTTTATGGTACTGAGTATTAACTAGGAGTGGCACCAAAAATTAACATACTGCTGCAGTGTTATTACTAACAATGATATAGTTGCGCTTTGTTGGATAGCTTTTTTTTTTATCTCTAAGTGTGTCTTCACACTGCCCCTGTCTGGTCCCGCTATTCTTTGGGCAAAGCGCAGCTAACCTGTGGATTAACTGCACTTTCCCATAGACTTCTATGATTCCTGCAGTTTTGGTGCAGTTTCAGAGAGCACCAAAGATGCAGGAGTTTTGGTGCGCTTTCTGAAACTGCACCAAAACCACGTGACCTCATAGAAGACTATGGGAAAGCTCAGCTAACGCACATGAAAACCATTGGTTAGCAGCTGTTTAGGAAAAGGGCAGGGAGGCAGTGTGAAGCCGCCATTAGAGTGTAAAGTGATGCACTGTAACATATTTCTGGTTACTGCTCCACAGTCTCACGACGGAGGGAAAGCGAGAAATCTGTGGAAAATGAAGTGTTTGGAAAAGATGAGGAATCTCCTAGCTTGAAGTCCCCCAAATCTGATTCCCAGCTCCCTTTAAAAGTTATGCCTGCCCCGCCTCCTAAGGAGAATGCATGGGTGAAGCGTAGTACAGCACCTGCCCCTTCTCGCTCCCTCAGTTCAGAGTCCTCCCAGAGGTAAGAGTACCTAAATCACAGCTGTGGTGAAATGTAATCCTGGGTTCCCTCTTATTACTTCTGAGCCCTTCAACTGTACTGTTCACCCTTGAGGTGCTAATTTGAATACATTCATTATATAATTTTTTTCCTTTCTTAAAAACTCACTGGAGGCTCAAACGGCAAATAACTGAAGAGAAAGGAAAATATTTACTTTACTTTTGGACAGTGTAATGCGAGCACACAAACTAGTAAAGGGAAACGAGTCCTGATGGACCATGACATTGAAAAGCACCTCAATGCTCTTAGTAGTTGCTAACTTTCTAATGTGTAATTTGAGCAGTGTCTGATAGGAATATATGCATTTCATAATTCACCATACATTCCTTAAAGAAAAGACTTCCATAGAATTGAATGCTTTGGACAGATGTGGGTAATATTTGTGTTTACTTCTAGTGGAGGAGAGAGACCTCATGATTCAGAAACGCGGCAGCCTGTGAATGTGCAAAGAGGTAAGTTCCTTGTCAAAAGAGACCTCTGTATTCATATGTTACATGTTTTCCCCAGCACTTATTCATTCCTTTTTAAAGCAGATGAGAACAAAGTAGATGGTGTGGACCATGTGTCGATGTCTAGTGGACGTGGCATTGGAGATCGCAATAGAGTGTCCGATAGGTAAGCTGGGGGGGATGGGCAAGTAAACTTCCTGGGGATGTTTCTTGGGGGTATGGTAGTAAGTTTTTTTTTTTTTTTTTTTTTTTTTTTTTTTTTTCCCCCAAAAAGCTGGACAGGGTGAGTCCCCTTGTCAGAATGCAATGGCACAGTGGGGGAGATCACTGCTTGTGTTGGTATTGCAAAATTGTTTTTTTTTTTTCTCCTTTTCATTCAGTCCACTGCATTAGAAGAGATGAGGGGAGTGATTTCTGATGAGGCTAATTTGATAAATTTCATGATGTTTATAGCCAGCCATAGATGTTTCAAGTCTCAGCCAGTTCAGTGGGGACCAGCTGAGATCCCATCAGTTTATGGGCAGGCTGATTGTATCCAAGTCAATCCATCCATTGATTTGGGTAAAACCAGCTTGCTGAGTTTTCAGCATGCGATTATTACCAGTGGCTATAGCCACTAACAGTAATTGTGTTCTCCCGGCAGGGACAGCTCCCAGCGCTGGGATAACACAATAGCTCTGCTGGAGGGATTCCCCCATCAACACTTGACTGTCTATCATTGACAATCAAATGTCTAAATGTCACTACTACAAAAAAATTCTGAAGATTATACAGTTTTTTTATTTATTTTTTTTCATAGCAGATTTATGGAAACATTTTTTTCTAAATATACATAATTGAACTGTTGAATGGTTATCTTTTAGATGTCATTTGTGTATACCAGTTATTTTTGAAACGGTATCAAGCTGGCAATACATTATACAATTTTCTTCTTCAGTTTGCTTTAGACTTTTTACCTTCAACTATGTAATGCAAAGGCCTGTTTTGCTTGAGAAACCTAGTGTTTTTAACACTACCACATCCGCTCACTAACACACAGATTAGGCTCAATAGATGTGTAAAAATATAAAGAATTGTCAGAACTGTTTTAAGGCATATTAAGTCTATCTTATAGCAAGAATAAAGCATCAATACAGCACCGGATATTGTAGCATCACCCATTGCTCAATGATTGGGGGACTCCAGCAATCAGCAAGGGGAAACCGGGAAATCACCGCAAAGGCACGTCTGCCGCGTCTTGAAATAAGTCCCAAATTCCCCTAGAATCCCCCTTTTTTATATACATAATTTGCAATGTCATTATCTAATGCCATGTGCAGTATCTCCTGGTTATATAACATCATGTATGATTCTGCATAGTAATTAGTCAATTTGTGATCGGCTCGTGCCGTCATGCGTAGTATGTTTTGATTAAATGCACATCTGGTGAATATGAGTTATAGCTTTGGTTTTATCCAGTTTAATGTATACTTCCAACTTGTTGTTTTGAACTCCAGTTACCTCTCCAATGGTTATAATCGCTAGCATTATGACCGTTGAGTGTCAATCACTCCTCATCCATACATCCTATACACTCATGTCACATATGTATCACAGGGCCTGCCTGATTGCATACAAATTGAGTGTTTTTAGGGTTGACTGCAAATTTATATGGTTTTGGTAAATCTAAAGGAAAATTGTATAACATAAGTGTTTTATGCTTAGTAAACTTTAGATTTGGAGACATTGAAAGTAAAAGTTGTTGTTTTTTTTTTTTTTTTCCCGTTCCATTTACAGGAAAGATGTGGATTTAAAGACTGGGTCGGAGCCAAGGAGGAAAGATGAGCAGGACGCTGTAAGTTATTCTACTTTATGCTGGTTTATTTGCTGTCCTTTGGACTGCAGCTTCTGTGTAACAGAGTTCTTTTATATCTAAACACTAATAAAGTGAAAATCTAAATTGCAGAAAGTGGTTGTCTTGGGTAGTACATCAGTGGTTTCCCTAAAACTAGTGTTGCAGTTATACTGACCTATTTTATGTCTTTGAAGCATGTTAGGGCCAATGCATTTTTTGTATTTTACTTAAGCCTGTTGGAGGGGCTCACATGCCTCTGTATGGTGTTGATCTAAAGGTTTAATTGTGATGGCCCCTATTGTAGAGATTCCAGCAAACTTCCTTTTCTAGAAACTGGCACCAGGGCAGGGAGTGACTGGATTTCTCCCAGTGGCTACACAGCAATAGAATGTTTAAGTGATTTCTTCTTTAGAATGGGAAATAGTTGGAGCCTATTCACATTTATTACTGTGTGCCATTTTGATTACTTAAATTTGAACTCTAGGTGGAGATATAAAGAAAAAAACAAACTACAAATAAATGGTGGTGTGCATTCATTAAAAACAATCAACTTGTTTTAAACTAAAGCAAGTACCTTAATTTGACTTGGTATCAGCATCTTTTATTCCACTGTACAGTTGGCATTTGGGGGGGAGTAGTACTATGAGCTAGGCAGGAGTGATGTAGTACATGTGCTGAATGGAAAGAGAGATGACCTCATCAGTGTGTGCTGCTGCTCCTTTGTTATATAATCACAGGCTAACACAGGAAAGTATTTGATGTAATGTGTAACTGCTGAATCAACATGGCTGTGCTTTCTTGTATGTAAATATCAGCATTGGATGGACTAAATTACAAATCATTTATCAGTTAACTACTTGCCGACTGTGCTATAGTAAAAAATGGCTACAGCACAGTCGACTGGTTCTGGGAGGCCATCTATTGACGTCCTCCAAGAACTCCTGCCCCCCTGCGTGCCCCTGGGGCGCGCATTGGGAGTGCTCTTTGATCGCAGAGAGGTAAAGGCCCTTTGTCACATCATCAGCTGTGTCAGCGTGAGGAGAGAGCCCGTAACCGGTGATTCTCACAGGAACATCTACACTGATCATCAGGGCACCCTTATAAGTGCCCATCCGTGCCGCCTCATCAGTACCCATCAATGCAGCCTCATCGGCGCACGTCGGTGAGAGAATAATTACTTGTATGCAAAATTTTATAACCAAAACTAAGAAAAAGCATTTTTTGTTTGGTCTGTCTCAAAAAAAAAATGGTAAAAATTTCATATAGCTACAGTGTTGCATGACTGTGCAATTGTCATTCAAAGTGTGAAATTGGCCTGGGCAGGAAGGGGGTAAAAGCGCCCAGTGGGCAAGTTGTTAAACGCTCCCATACATGTGTTTCAATTATGTATGTAGACAATTGCCTGTAGTTCAGTTTTGACTATTTCATTGGTTCCTAATCAATATGTATCGCTTCACATTACTAGACTGAAATGACTAAAAATGTCTGGCCTTTTGTCTTTAGGTTTGGTTCACACCAAGTGCTTTCTGCAGAAATGCACTACAGTCCATTTAACATAGTTCCCTGTGGAACACGTTCACATCTATACTTTTTTGAACGGCTGCATGTTGGAAAGGGTCAAGAACTTTTTAAAACAAAAAACATTGCGTTTTTGGTTTAATAGACTTTATTGGAGACTCTGCAGAAAATGCATGCAGTGCGTTTTTGCATTTTTAATCTGCCCAGCAACAAGTTAAACCCAAAAAAAAGCATGTGAAAAAACCCTCAAAACGCACCGCAAAGCATTGCAAAATGGACAAAATGCAAACTGCATTGGTTTGAACCAGGCCTTAAACCATTCTTCAAACTTTTTCATATTCACTCCACTCTTATTGCATTGTTTTTCTCAGATCCTGATGTGGCAGTTTTTATTTTGTGACCCAAACAAGCATCGTTACTTATTTTTTTTTTTTCTCTCCTATATGTGCAGAAATTCAGCCAAGCAAGTAAATACGCAGCTTTGTCTATGGATGGAGAAGAGGAGCCTGAAGAATACGCAGACTAACTTGGGGAATATCTGTGTCCATTGGATTCCTTCCTCCCTCTCCTTTTAATCTCCCATATGCCCTATTCCATAACAGTCATTGGCATAAGCCAGAGCAAGAAAAGCAACACCCCTTCCGGCTCTGTCCCCTCAGAAATCTAAAAGCAGTCCAATTTTTGACACCTCCAACAATGATCTTCAGTTAGAAAAACAATGAGCTGTTTGTTCTCTTGCATGCTGCTGCAGCTTTTTACCGTGTGCGTGAAATAGGAGGGGGGCGTAAGTGCAGTTTGTGGCGAGGAAGCCCTTGATTGCAGTTCATGCTTTCTTTGGGAAAGGGAAGTTTAACAGGATTATCACATAGTATATTAAATGCTTCCCGAAAACCTCTGCTACACTGCACAAAGGTTATCTTTTTTTTTTATGCCAGAGAAGACCTTGATTCCACGAAGGAGCATCTCATATAAGACTTGGGTGGCTCCCAGAGCTTCAATTTTAAGTTTATTCCTCCAGCACATAGAGAACTTGATGGACTTGATGTGCTGGACCTGATTGATTGCATTTTTAGCACATTATAATAACGAAATGAATTAATACGAAGCCCTAATTTGCAGCTTCAGTAGTGAAATGAAAGCCTTCAGATGCTTGGTTTGCACTCAGAATAGAACAGTTTGCCAGAAGCCTCTCATCCACTATGGCAAAAGCAAAAGAGAAAAAAAAAAAAATCAGATAACTAGATATATCCACAGACTGAAACCATGTTGAATAGGAGAATCCCCCTCAGACTTGGTGTGATGCTGTGGGTTTCCAGGAGGCTGCTGTAGCAATGAACTTTGTTCGTAGGATGTTTTTTATATAAAGTATCTGGAAGAGGTGGTGTTTGAGTGGCATGTTGCATCCAGACACTGCCTTTCACACATCTGACAAATCCTGAATCAACATCGGTCCTCTTCTCTTCCACCCCACCTCAACCCCTTCATCTGGCCTTCCCTAATTTATAACTAATGTGCAGCGGAGAGCTGGGTCCTTGTCTCTCTTGGGCCAACTCTTGAAACCTTGGTTTAACATTTTACACTTCCCACTGAAGTGTAATCTGAAGAAAATATATAATAAAAACTTGTAATGATTTGTAATCAGCTTTCTGGGAGATGTTTTATTATCATGTAAAGTACCTGACCAACCCTCTCTATTTTTGTTTTCTGTTTATCAGCTCTGCCCTCCCTCAAATAAACTAATCTTTAAAGTATTATGTCTGTTTAAATGTTTGTCTGTCATCTGTAAAAGATTTCGTCTTCACACTGTGGAATAATTGTGTGGTTTTTGAGGACCCCTAAATATAATAGGAGACATTTATTAAAAGCTGTGCTTAGTTCATTGTGGTCTATTTTTTTTTCTTCTTCTACAATAGAACTTTAGGAACTTTAGCACAGTTCTGCAATGTTTTTTTAAACACATACTGTACAGAATTATTTGTGAATACTATGCATTCATGAGACAGAAATATCTGTCAGTTAAAGGCGTTAAACATGAAGTAGTTGTACTATTTGGCGGATTTTGGTAATAAAGAAAGGTGTTATTAGAGTACAAAGATTTTGAAGTATATCAGACAACTTGGGTTATACTGCTGCCTACAGGAGAAATTGGACAAAAAAAATAGCCAATTAAGTAACTGTTCCCACACTCCCTTCTGGTTTTGGATTTTGCTAGTGTCGTGGGTGGGTGGATGGACATCTTTTTGGAGAAAAGTTTAACCATTTTTTGCTAGACCTTTCTTTTACTTTGGTTCAGAAAAAGGAGTCATTCTCTACAGGACACTGGCTTTTTTTGCCTTCAGGTGATTGGACAGTGGCAAAAACAGGCTACAGGGACATTACCCCTATATAACTCCTTCCACTCCCAGCTAGCCTCAGTTATTTTTTTAGCGTTCTTAGGTGGTGGGCCACCTATCTGACAGAATTTTACCATCTTATTATGGAAGGTTTCTTTCTCTACGATCATCCACCAAGATGATTCTTTCAGGATGCTTCTATCAAGATTCCTGCTGCACCACAGCCAGTGCAGCTTCTGAATCTGTTGACTGCTCAGCAGAGCTTTAGGATCATACCCAGACCCTGCAGGATGGAAGAACTGAGACCAGCCTGTAATGTCGCTGTCATGCACTGAATCCTGCTATAGGCCCTTTGCACCTAGTGCAACATGTGGCATTAGTCATTGGGTGCTATACAGTTTCATGGCCATGGTCTGAAAGACCCTGTGGGGTATGCCCAGCCCATTGTGGGGCTGGCAAATCCAGGACTGGGTATTTTTCTTGTTAATTCTTCCTGCACAAGCTTCAGAGGTGAGTAGAGGGTGGAAGCCTTTTAAACATTTAATTTTGTAAAGCGCTGCGCAAACTGTTGGCGCTATATAAATCTTGTATAATATTCATTCCTAAGATGCCCCTTTCGTTACTCCAGACACCTTAACCAACCCCCACCAAAATCTTCATGGCTAAAAGTCGGGAGCTCCAAGTTTGTCTTTTAAGTTTGCTACCATTTTTTCCTGGCATTGTGGTACCTGATTTCTTCCCCCTTGGGTGCCTAGTGCACCCAAACACATACTGCACATGCACTACCACACTTTCAGTTGAGTTACTGCAGCCATTTTCTGGGCTAAACATTGGACCTGCAAAACCTCTGGTCTCTCTCCTGGTGGCACAGTATTGTTTGTTACTGCATTACCTGCTTGCCACTAATGCATTCCCCCTCCCTCTCCACAGCTGTGGAGTTTGTGAGTACCCCTTAGGGTACGATATTCACAAGTATGGCAGATATTGAGTGCAAAGGAAGAAGGGTCAGATAGACTTGTTAGCTCAGACTTCGCTCTAATGGAAGTAGTAGTGTGCTTTGGGCCACACTCTTTACTTTGATGGGTACCACCAGTCTGGTTGTCTGTCTTCCTCTGCCCATTATGCTGACTCCTCTGCCATGCCAGCTTCTACAGTGTCTGATTTGATGGGCAGAATTTCTGGCCTTATCAAGGCCATAAATGGCAGTTTTTGCCCCTTTAAGAACATGATGGGATCATTTTCTGTCTGTAGCCTGTCCTCGATTATCTTTACCTCTTGATCCAGGAGAAATAAAAGCTCTGGAAGTTTAATATACAAGAAAGTTTATACAGAAATGCAACAGCCATTTCCAGTTGGGATAACTAAAGAAATATTATACTCTTATCAATATAGATATGTGAAGAACAGAAACTACAAATGGCTGAGGAGTACCATATAAAGTGAATCTGTTTTCAGAGAAATGAAAGCAATTCCTGAGAAACTAAAGCTGTTACATATTCGAATGGAGGTATACAAAATGGATGCTAGTTTAAAGATAATTTCCTTACATCACATGCCCTCCAGAAGATTTGCCACCCTTCCTGACCAGGGCATTTTGGTGCTGCGTGATTTCAACTGGTCATGCAATGCTGTACCCAGACAAAATTTATGACCTTTCTTTCACGCAAATACAGCTTTCTTTTGGTGGTGTTTTGATCAGCTCTGGGTTATTTTTTGCACTATGAACAAAAAAAAAAAATTAATTTCTGTTAAAATATCCTATAAACTCAAATTTAGACCAAAATGTATTTTGTATGTCTGGTAAGAAAAAAATCCAAATACATGTATATTGTTTTATATGCAAGTTATAGCATCTACAAACTATGGAATAGATACTGGAATTTACACCATTTTTTGCTATACGGTGCTGTGCTAGTCTAACTGACAATTGCACCGTCATGCAATGATGTACATAAATTAAATTAGTAATTTTTTTTCCCAAAAAATGAAGCTTCCTTTTGGTAGTATTTGATCACCTCTGCAGTGTTTTTTTTTTTTTTTTTTTCCTCTGTGCTATAAACAAAAAAAGCCCAAAATGTTTGAAGAAAAATTTCTAATTTCTGTTATAAAAATATCCAATAAACTAAAATTTCATCACATTTAAGCTAAGATCTATTTTGCTACATGTCTTTAGTTAAAAAAAAAAAAAAAAAAATCCCAATAAGTATATAATTGGTTTGTGTGAAAGTTATAGCATCTACAAACTATGGTATAGATACTGAAATTTGGGAAGCTTTGACTGTCTATCACATTTCTTGAGGCGCTAAATGCCATGGCAGTACAAACATCCCCCAAATGACCCCTTTTTCGGAAATAGACACCCTAAGCTATCTGCTGAGAGGCATGTTATTATTATACAGGATTTATGTAGCACCAACAGTTTGTGCAGCATTTTACAAAATGAAGGTAGACATTAATTACAATACAATTTGGTACAAGAGAGAACAGGGCCCTGCTCTTTAGAGCTTACAATCTAAAAGAAACGGAGGGCCCTGCTCCATGGCAGACCCCCCCCCCCCCCCCCCCCCACCCACAAAGTTGTCATTTAAATGGTATATTGCTCACACATGCCATGGGCATATTTGGAATTACACCCCTAAATATATTTGGCTACTTCTGAGTATGAGGATACCAAATGTGAGATTTTCTGGGAGCCTTCCAAGAACTTGTAAAATATTCTATTGACTTAGCATGCCTCTCAGCAAATAGTTTGGGGTGTCTACATTCCAAAAATGGGTCATGGGGCGAGGGGATGTTATCTTGGTATTTTATGCTTAGCATTAGAAGCTTAAGCGACACATCGCTCTTCTAACCACTTGAAGACCAAGCCTTTTCTGACATTTTTTGTTCACATGAAAAATAATCAGTATTTTTTGCTAGAAAATTACTTTGAACCCCCAAACATTATATATATTTTTAAAGCAGATGCCCTAGAGAATAAAATGGTGGTGTTGAAATTTGTCACATGGTACTTGTGCAGTGATTTTTGAAACAAATCTTTTGAAAAAAAAAATACACATTTTTGAATTTTAATGCACAAAAACACAATATGTTGGCCAATTGTTTCGTAAAATTTTAAAGGTTATGGTATGCGGAGTAAATAGATGCCAAACATGACATACTTTAAAACCGCGCACGGCCCGTGCATTGGCAA